ATTCTACCTGTTTCTTAGATTAGCTGGTTATTTTCAAAGACTAACTTTTCCACTAAATATCCTTTGTTTTGATACTCAGAGCTGAAATGAGACTGGATATATTTTGTTTTCTAATTAGATGATAAAACACTTAAAATTTTATGAAAAAAATTTCAGAAAAATACCATTTGGTGAAGTTAACCATAATAATAGAGTGATACTGAAGATAAAGCAAATATTTATATTTATGAAATATTAAACATTATCAATATATATTTGAAGGCTGAATTTAAGAATTCTGTTGACCTGAAACTATCATGTTTTATAAGGTGTTTTTTGGAGAACTACTGGGCAGTCACTGTATTTAAAATTAATGGTTTGTGTGGCTGTTAAAATAATGTATGTAGTTTAATATTAGAATTATAATGTATAAGATACACATTCTGCTGTGTCAAGGGACTTTGAATAGTCAAAAATATTTGTGGAACTAATTTAACATATTGAGCAGTGTTGGTAAATTAATGAAGCCGACTACTGTACAAAGCCATTTAAATAAAATAGCTAACAAATATAACATAATAAAGTACATCACTTTGATGGTGTGTTTAGGTATTATGACTATTTGGTTTAACATAAAACCTTTTTTTCCCTTAGTGAGAGAGCAGCAGTAGATGCATCTTATATTGATGAGATAGATGGACTCTTCAAAGAAGCCAATACTATTGAAAACTTTCTAATACAGAAAAGAGAGCTCCTGAGACAGAGGCTTACAGTGATTGCAAACACACTACACAGATAAAATTGTGTACTTAAAATAAGCTGAGAATTTAAGCTCATTATTGTTTTAATGAAAGAATGACATTTGTGCTCAATGTGCTCTAGTTGTTAAAAAAAAAAAGTATCCCTTAAATGTAGAAGGGGAAACTTCCTAAATTTCTTTTCTAGATTTAAAAGCATTAAGATGGACATTAATATGAAGTATGTAGCCTTTCTTTTGAAGTCTAATATTTGGCATATTTTGTAAAAGTGTAAACTTTAAATTTTTTCTTAAACATCCTAGCCTTTCTTAAATTTCTAAAAGAAGACTCAGTGGATTAATTTGATAATATTTAACAATATTGTACTTTTTCTTTTAGAATATTTTGTTTAAATAGTAGATAGAGATTTAAGGTTGTCTTTCATGGTTAGCATTGAAAAGAAATTAAAACCCAAAAGTAATCTGTCCAGTTTCTCAATATGTAAACTGTGCTATTGCTATTTAATATTACCATTTGATTATTTTCACTAATATTATTACACAATGTTAATAAAAATTTGTTTTATTATCATGTTGTTTTTATTATCATATGTTGGAGAAGGAAATGGCAACCCACTCCAGTATTCTTGTCTGGAAAATCCGATGGACAGAGGAGCCTGGTGGGCTATGGAGTCACAAAGAGTTGGACACGACTGAGCACAATAAAAATTTGGCTTCAAATTATTATGTTGTGGTAAAATAAAAACTAGAAATTTCTAACTAGAACTTTATATGAATTGACTTTTTTACACATTAACAGTATCAATGGTGCAGTTAATGAAGTATATTTAGAAGCCTTAGCAAACTATATGGTGTGGGATAAAGATTAGTGGTCCAAAAGTAAAGAGATTGGTTAAACAAGTCAGCCTTAGTGAGTCATTTCAGTCCTGTTATAATTCGAGAATTGAATTTGGACTAGGAAATCTCTAATATTTTTCTAGCAAAAAAATCCTCCCTTTGAGGAGAGTTTGGGGAGAATGGATACATGTGTATCTGTGGCTCAGCTCCTTCATTGTTCACCTGCAACTCACATTATTAATCAGTTATACTCCAATACAAAACAAAAAGTGTTTTTAAAAAAAATCTTTACTTTGTTGGAAGGTACTATGACTTTAATGAAAACTTTTAATATGTTATATATAATTTATATAATAACTAAATTGATAAGATTTTAAAAAATCACAACATTCCCTGTTCAATCATATGGATAATTCTATTATGTGTGTATTTTGCCTATATTGTAATCACAAATTTGGATATATATTTAGACAGTACCACAGGGAATTGGTATTCCTCAGGTGGACAGCATGTTTGCCCTGCTGCCTTCTAAATGTTAAAATCTCATTTCATCAATTACTACCTTAAGGCATATGTACCATTTAAGATAAATATTCATACAAGAAAGGATTGAAAGGATTGAAAACAGTAATGTAGTATTTACTAAGTATATTTACAGTGGAAAACTTATTTGGCTCATAGGCAGATATGTTAATGGCACAGGATAGGTTGGAGGTCAGTAAAAATTAGAAATAGGATTTTAAAAACTAAATGCAACAGGAAGACTGCATTTGAGTTGGTATGACAAATCAGCTGGATTTTGAGTTGTTCTGTTGCCTTACAGAGTTCTTTAATGTTTAACTGTGAAAATGACTGCTAGCTTGGGCAGAAGCTAGCAACATTAAGAAATGTTCTTGAGTTATTTTTTCTTAAATATTTTTATTAATGTAAAAGATAAGGCTCGCATTGTTTCAGAGTAGATTTTGATTTCATATTATATTTGTTATACCTTTTTTTTTTTTCTTTTTACTGTGCCATATGGGATCTTAGTTCCCTGACCAGGGATGAAGCCATGCCTCCTGCATAGGAAGTGCAGAGGCTTAACCACAGGACGGCCTGGGAAGTTCCAATACTTGTTATATCTTAATAGGTTCACCATTGCTCAGTATGTGGTTCTTCCCTGTGCAGGTTAAATTTGATCATTTCATTGGGGATGTGTGTAAGACTGGGGAACGACTTTCAGTCATAGTGTTACTTACCGGTCAGAACAGACACCTCCTAGGGAAGAAGTTCGTGAAAGTCTAAATCAGGCTTATTTTTTAATCAAACTTGATATCTTTGGTACCATTCACATGAGAATAATTATCTTAACAACTGGAAATAGGCTATTGCAGGAGTATATTTGCCTTTTAATTTATAGTTATCATTTCAGTAAAATTTTGTAAGTTTATATGTTATTTTTCAATAATTGCAAATCAAAATATATATTGAATTTCTTCATATCATGATCTGCTAGACACTGTAGGGAGTACAGAACTCTTTGTTCTCCCTTCTGACAAGTTTAGCCACTCCTTTCTTTTTTTTTAATTTTAAATTAATTTATTTAATTGGAGGCTAATTACTTGACAGTATTGTGGTGCTTTTTGCCATACATTGACATGAATCAGCCATGGGTGTACATATGTTCCCCATCCTGAACCTCCCTCCCCATCCCATCCCTCACAGTCATTCCAGTGCACCAGCCCAGCACCTTGTCTCATGTATCAGACCAAGGACGTTGTCTCATGCATGGAGGGAAGGAGTCGCTTGGTGAAATTGATACCCTGGGTCAGCTGACTTAATCAGTGGACAGATCTGAAAGAGGAAACTTTACAGAGGGAGACCACTACTGGTGGTCCAGTTTCAGTATTTCAAGCAGCAACTTATCATAAATAGGGATACTTGTCCTGAAAATGAGACTAAGAGAGATTGTACATGTTTTGAAGCCCCACCCCTCAACTGGGCTGGCGATCTGTTTCATATATGATAATACACTTGTTTCAATGCTGTTCTCTCAAGTCATCCCACCCTTGCCTTTTCCCAGAGTCCAAAAGACTGTTCTTTACATCTGTGTCTCTTTTGCTGTCTCGCATATAGGGTCATTGTTACCATCTTTCTAAATTCCATATATATTCATTAATATACTGTATTGGTGTTTTCCTTTCTGATTTACTTCACTCTGTATAATAGGCTCCAGTTTCATCCACCTTATTAGAACTGATTCAAATGCATTCTTTTTAATGGCTGTAATCACTCCTTTCTTGAAATGCACTTACATGTCTTTGCTGGGAGGACATGTTATATCAATGTTAAAAGTATTTCCTGGAACTCCAGGAATTCCCTGGTGTTCCAGTGGATAAGAACCCACCCGCCAATGCAGGAGACACAGGTTCAGTCCCTGGTCCAGGAAGATTCCACATGTCACGGAGCAACTAAGCCCATGTGCCACCACTACTGGGCCTACATACAGGCGGTAACTATTGAAGCCCATGTGCCTAGAGCTTATGTTCCACAACAAGGGAAGTCACCGCAATGAGAAGCCCGACTGCAACTAGAGAAAGACTGTGCAACAATGAAGACGCAGTGCAGCCAAATAAATTCTGTGGCACTGCTATTAACTCCTTTTAGTGGGAGTTATTAGAAGGCTTTGGCAAGGGGCTCACAGAGGTAGATTTTGAAATGGGCTTTTGAAAAGGAAAGAAGGAGGGTATTTCAGGCAGGGTAAAGTTTGTTTAAAGGCACAGAAGAATAAAAACACTTGGCAAATCATTTTAGCTGACTGAGAATTCACAAAAGGGAATAGTGTATCATCTACACTGCTAGAGAGCAGGATAGAATCTGTTCTCAATTTGTAGCACAGTATTAGGTAGATTGGAGCTCAGAAATATTTGTTATATTAATAAAATGATGTATGGTTATTTGTTTTTAAGGGTATACCTTCACAGGGCTTTATTCATATTAGATTGTTGAGAATGTTTTGTAAATTAAATGACTAGGAAACGAAAGAAGAAATGCTAGAAGGGCAGAGAGACAAAGGATGAAAGGTAGATTGTGGTCAGATTGTAGAGTCTTGTTGACAGATTAAATTTGGACTTTATTCTGTAAAGGAAATCTGAATCATTCAGAGGGAAGGAGTGGCACGATGAAATTGATACCCTGGGTCAGCTGACTTAATCAGTGGACAGATTTGAAAGAGGAAAGTTTACAGAGGGAGACCACTATTGGTGGTCCAATTTCAGTATTTCAAGCAGCAATTTATCATAAACAGGTTGTAGGGATACTTGTCCTGAGAATGAAACTAAGAGAGATTGTACATGTTTTGAAGCCCCACCCCTCAATCCCCAACCCCACCCCCTCCTATTCTGTCAGTGAGCCAGGGACAGCCCAGGAAGTGAGTTTTTGACTGCCAGTCAGCTTGAGGATTTGGGAAACACAGGATCTGCTGCTGCAGAACTCAACACAAAAATGTTTTCTCAAATCTTTCTACGTTCTGTCAGCAGCTTTTCTACCATTGCACTTGATTTCCTTTCTAGGATAGTACGCCGGATCCCAGGTAGGGGATTTGCCCCTTCCTTCTCCTCTCTCTCCTTTTCCTGAACTTAGGACTCTGACTCTTTCTTGAAGAATACCAGGGGCTTCTGAAGTTTCTCAGTCTGTGTGGAACAGATTCAGGCAGTAACTCCCACTGCAGAGGTGGGAGTTAAAGGAGATTGAGCCAGGATTTGTCTACTTGTTGTCAGGCAAACAGCCTTTCTGATTGTAGATTTTATGCAACATACAGGGGAGGGATTCAGGGTTTAGAAATTCTCTTGGATCTGCAATAGGAAGAGTATTCACTATTTAGAACTTTCTCAACTAAAAATCACTGCTACTTGTTCTAATGTAAATGTTTGGTTCTTCTATTTGCATTCTGGTGGACTGCTTTAAAAATTCTATTTATTGTTTTGTAGCTTTCTACTGAAGCTACAACCTCTTACCTGATTTTATTTCTTGAAAATAGCTGATACAGAGCTATTAGAAATCATACTGATATGCACTAAAAACTTTAAAGTTGTTTAATTCAATAATGTATGCTTGCTCTATGCAGGGCAGTGTATTAGGTACTGGATTGGGAACAAAACAAGACTGTACTCGGAGTACAGGGTGTAGAAGTTATAAGGTATATTCATCTTTATCACATTAGATAGAATAAGATAAATGCCACACAAGAGCTAAAACAGATGCTGTGTGGTTTCAGACTAAGGAAAATCAGTTCTTACTATAAAATGGGAATATTGTGTTTATGAGGCAGGTGATATGGGCACTACATATTGAAGGATGAGGAGGCATTCCAACTTGAAGGATGCATCACCTCAAGGAAATGAGAAATATTCTAGGTGAGGAAGAGTGTACAATTATAATAAGAAGAACTGAAGAGCGGACCAGTTTGGCTGGAGGGGAAGGTGTTAGTGAGAGGCAGATCTGGACAGGTGGGCTGCTGTGACACTGTGCATTGCATCAATGCCTGGCCAAGTAGTTTAGACCCTATTTGGTAGACAGTGAGGAATCATTAGGAAAGGTTTTATGGAGGAATTTATGATATAATCAGATCTGTGCTTAGAGGATTAGTAGCAGTGCTTCCTGTTTTCACATTATAGCGCACATAGAAAATGATCTTTTTACCTCACAAAGGAGTAAACTGGATGGGATCTGGAGCCCCATGAGCTGCTGACAGCTGAAGGTGATTGACATGGGGCCTCTAGCCATATTAAGGGCTAAGCAGGGCAGGAGAGCCCCATAAGCTCTGGCATAGATGATACAATGTCCCATTGTTCAGGCCCAATTTGTGTTTGGAGGACGATTGGAGGAGGGGGAGGAGGGGGAGGAGGTGCCATTCCACAGCAAGCCAGCCAAGAAGTCCTTTGTCATGGTAATGTTTCAACATAGTAACCTTTTACATAATGTTTTTTGTTCTTTCCCTAACTCTTTCCCTGAAGTTTCAGTAGTAAACATGGTTCACAGACAGAAAGGGCAGCAATGTCCGAAAGTCTTCTTTTGGAGGCAGGACGAAAGCCCAAGTTTGTCCGCTGATGTTTATGCATAATTCTGCTGGGCCAATACACAAAGGAAGGACTTCATAACCTAAAGAAATGTTAATTAGTTTTTCTTTCTCCCAAGGGTGTGAGGGTTCCAGGGAGGGGGCATATGGGTGGAGTCACTGGTTGATACCATCGGTCTTTTCTCTGTCTATTTTATGACCTGCAAAAAAAGGGGGGGTGGGTAAGTAAGCCCAGTTGAGTCTGATTAATCAGAGCTCGAATGGGGGGAGGCATAGGCTAGCAAGCTGAGAATTGCCAGGAAAATGTATTCAGGACTCTGAGGCATTCCCTGTTGAGAGATCAAATCTTCAGCTTTATTAGTAAGGGTTTTTATTTGTCCCCAAGTGGGGAGATCATAGGTTTGATGCATAGGTTGATGCATAGGGTTGATGCGCTTTCTGGAGATCTTTAGAGCCGCCATGGCCCGTATTGGAATTTATTCCTCCTGGGGTTCTTGTTGTTTTGTCTCCATTTTGAATGCTGGGGGCCCCCTTGGGTCGAATTTTCCAAGGAAAAAGTTTGTTGGATCCATCTGGGGAAATACAAGCATACCCCTTTCCCTGTAAGATTAATTCCCCAGATTTCTATTGTTTATTGAACCCATCTTGGTACCAAATGGGCAGAGGAAAAGAAGTGTCCTTCAATTCCTTGAAATGTCGTTCTGCTCTTGTAAATAAATAAAGCTGTATTAACAATAGTTACAGGTTTAGAAAATATCTTATGTTGGAATCTAATAAAGTCTGCTTTAGATAAGGAAGACAGTAGTGTTCCTGTGTATTCCCCCTTCTTTAATTTTTTTATTTGTAACTTTAGTGTGTGATGTGTTCGTTCGACTATGTCTTGTGTCTGTGGATTATAAGGAATACCTGTAATGTGTTTAATAGAAAAATATTGTAAAAATTGTTTAAAGTATCTAGAAATATAGGCAGGACCATTGTTTTAATCGAATTAGGAGTTTATGGTGGAGGTTTTTATATTTTTTAATACAATAACTGACTATATAGAGTCAGAGACTATATTAATGGGGTAAGGATGTAGGCAAATAACTTGAATAAGAACATATAATTCATTTTGTTGAGCAGAATGAAATTTAGTATAAAAGACTTTATATTTTTTGAGAGACCAGAATGAAGCTTTGGCGTTTTTAGTCCCATCTATATAAAAGAAATGTGAGAATAAATTCAGTGTTTTTGAAGAAATTCCACAGCTTACCAGAAGGATAGTGAAATGAAATTTCTCCAAAATATTTTAGAAAAGCTAACTGGAAATCGGTAGAAGTTTGTAATGTGTTCTCAAATTGAGATTTATTTGTAATAAAGTTTTATTAAAGTATAAAGGAGATAGCTTCTGACATAGGCATCAGAAGGGGGCAGAAAGAGTGCCTCCCTGCTAGTCTTTAACCAGGTGTCTTATAAAACTACTAGCAGTCTGCTAATTAGAGAAAGGAAATGTCTCAAAACTGAAGAGAATAACACCAGGCCCCTCACCCACAACAGGCATTTTGAGATAACCTTGGCACCAGGTGAGTAGTCCTGGACCACAAAATTATTGACATGAATCTTGAAGAAAGGCAGGTTTCCAAGCAAATACAGTTTCATCAACATTGCTTAAGAGAACATTTGCAAGAGTAAAACATACCGGTTTGTCAAATCATTTCTGAGTCTTAGGCAGAACCAACTTAAAGAATCTGGGGTAAATACATAGTTCATTAATATAGCTTAAGACAAACATTTCCATAAGAAAAATGCATTGGTTAACTCAGGGTTTGAGAATAGTTTACTTCAAGTGAAACCAGGTGTCATTATGGCAACACAGTATTTTAAGAGAAACCTCCTTTTCAATTTGTATAGAGAAGAAAAAAAAAACCGGTAGTTTGTTTCCTCGTGCTGCTTGAGAGAGATAAAAATGTCTGACACTTGCAGCCTATTTTCTCCATTTGGAGAAACTAGATCAGCCAAGTAAAAGATTGAAGGTTTGTGGGGTCAGGGGCCCAAAAAGTCCAGTAGGTATTCTAGAGGGGACTGCTGAGGGTAAAGGAGAAAGTCATTTAGGGCTGGTATATCGAAGGCAGCACTGTCGGATGTTGAGGGTTTGAGGGAAAAGATGGAATTTGCCCCTGGTTTTTGTTGAAGGGGACCTGGGGTGTCTCCTGCTTGGAGTTTCCCAGACCAGGTCTCCCTTCAATATCAAATTTAGATTTACACTCTTTGGCCCAATGCATTTCTCTATGGCAGCGAGGGCAGATTTTTGGAGTTTTTTTTTTTTTTTTTTCTCTTTAGCTTTCTTAGGGCAGTTCCTTTTAAAATGGTACTTATCTCCACATGTAGAGCATCCTTTATTTTCCTTTTCTTAAGGCAGCAACCATTGTTTCAGCCAGTATTTGCATCTTTTGAGTTTCTGATCCTATATTGAGACAAGCCTTCAAATAATAAAAAATAGTCCCTGTCTCACGAATTGGGGCTATAGCCCTTTAACATTCCTGATTTGCATTATCATAAGCAAGTAATTTCTCTAGAAGCCTTTTAGCTTCTTCTCCAATTACTGTATGGGAAATAGCAGTTTCTAATCTAGCTAAGAAATCAACATGTTTCATTAGGTCCCTGCAGTATTTTAATGTAGCTACCTGTAGGCTCCCCTTGAGGAGTAATTTGATCCCAAGCTTCAAGGGCCACTGTTTTTAATTGATCATACAACAAAGGAGGGCATCGTATTTGAGCTTCTATGGCATCAAATTGTCCAGTGCCAGTTAACATTCCAAAAGTAATTTGGTTTTGGGGAGCGCCAGCTTGAACATTTTTGTTAGCATGATCTCTGGCTATATCTTGAAACCACATTGTCCATTGAAGATACTCTCTTGGTTTAAGGAGAGCTTTTATTAAAATTCACCAATCATAGGGAATAAAGGTTCCAATAGAAGACGCCATAGTGTTTAGAATCTCTCTAGTAAAAGGCGAATGTGGGCCATACAAAGTTATGGCCTTTTTCACTTGTTGCATGTGAAAAAGGTTAATACCTTCATATTGAGGTGTTATTTGCCCTTGAGTATCAACATTTCTTAAAACTGGAAAGGCGGAGAAACCTCTAGCTTCAGAGACTTGTGATTGCAAAGCCAGCAACTCAGAGAGCCTCTGTTGCGAAGGGGGTAGATTATTTTTATTCAGAAAGGTGTTATCGGTTTTAATGTTAAAAGGTGTCTTAAGGGAATCATTGTCAGAATCATTACGTTCTATGGAGGGAGAGACTTTGGGATATGTGCCCTCCAGCAGGGAAGGAGCACTTGGAGCAACCAGGGCAGGATTGGTAGGAAAATGCTGAAATATGCTGTTCTAATTGGGCCTTTCGTAAGGTATCATCGTCTAATTCATATTCATGTAATAAGTGTTCTGCCTGTTGCCGAATATTAGGAGGGCAGAACTCTGTTATGGCAGAATCACAGCTTCAATGAGAGCCCACAGGGGCCAGAAATCTATCGGAATATTTTTTTCCCTGTCTGACGGCTCGTTCAACATTCTCTTTGACCTGATGCCAAATTTCTAAATCAAAACTACCTTCATCAGGGAACCAATGGTTACATTCAACCACTGTCTGAAGGCAAGCCTCTATTCGCTGGCATGAAACCAAAAATCCCTGAACTTTAAATAACTGATAAACTAAAGTAGAAAAGTGATGGGGCTTTCCAGCTGTTTGACCCATGTCTTAATACTTAGCAGCTTCAACAGGCCCTTTGGGGTCACTCCGTCCGAATCTTGCCACGTGTACCAGAGTCCCTGTTTCTGGGAGCCACTTGTTGGTCCTTTAATGGACCGGAACCTGGTGGTCCGGAGTGGACGATAAGAAAGTAAGAGAGAGAAAGAGGCTGATATCCCCTGGTTTACGTGGAGAGCCAATAAAATTCTATTCTTAGAACTCGCGCTGCTGCACGTAGGCACCAGGTGCCCTCTTGAAGGGGTGAAGGCACAGTGCGCCTTCTCCAGAGGGTCTTAGATGCCCAGGCAAGAAAGTGAACTCAGTGGGCTTCTGTGCTCCAAGGAATTAGCCTGAAAGAGAGAAGGAAAGAAAGAAAGACAGACACGGGGACCCAAGCTCTGATGGAGCAAAGGTGTTTTAATCAACATGGTGTGGGCATATATACTGTCTTACAAGGTAGTTACTCTCAGCACAGGTAAAGATTAAAATTCCAGACTTACAAAACATAAGGCAATCCCTATCAAAGACAGAGAGTTGTAAACAATCACTTTTTACCTTATGGTTCATAAAAAGGGAAGCGGATACTTATCATCGTAATGAGAAATGCCTGGATTCCTCAGCCCTGGGAAAGGCGTGCCTCTTCTCTTAATTCCTGAATATTCAGGAATTAATAAGGACCAGAGGATTCCTGACAGATCCAAAACAGCACACAGGAAGCCTCCTGTTAAATGCTTCCTGACATATGGGATTGCAAAGAGTTAGACATGACTGAGTGCATATACATGCACACAGACAAGATTACCAAGGGAGAGTGTTGAGAGGAGTCAATAAAGGGATTTATTCTGAAATTATCTACTGTTACTATATTTAATTGTGATAATAGACATGAACAGGAAGGAACATGAACATGGGAAGTTTTACCCACCTTTTATACTCCTTATCCCCATTTTATCATTGAAAAATCTGAGGCACAGAGTGATTAGTAGCTTGGCCATGGTTTTCAGCTAATAAGTAGGAAGCTGGTATAAAGCAAACAAAGAAGGAGCAGAAAAGTTAGAAAAGTGCAATGTCTCAGAAGCTAAGACAGGAAGAACATTAAAAAATGTTGATTACAACATCAAACACTAAGGGAAATGTGAAGAGTGTCTAAGAAACTGCCACCTGCATGCTGTGGAGTCCGGAACATATAAACATGTAAACATGTAACTACTTTCTAAAGCATTTTAAGTTGATGAATCTCTATTCAGACAAATGCCTGATCAAGGTATTCATTTTACTTAAGTAAGAGGAGTAAAATACCCAACGTCAGGGAATTTATTGTAACCTAAGAAGGAGAATAAGGTAAATATGCATGTAATATTAAAAGTAGCAAGATAAATACCAGAGGGCTTCCTTTTCTAAGTTTCAAAGCATCCTCTTGATACCTCTAATCTTGTGGCTCTCAAATTTTAGTATACCTAAGATTACCTGCTTCTCCTACCCCAGAGATTCAGGGTCTTTTCCATTGAGTCAGCTCTTTGCATCAGGTGGCCAAAGTACTGGAGTTTCAACTTCAACATCAGTCCTTCTAATGAACACCCAGGACTGATCTCCTTTAGGATGGACTGGTTGGATCTCCTTGCAGTCCAAGGGACTCTCAAGTCTTCTCCAACACCACAGTTCAAAAGCATCAGTTCTTCTGTGCTCAGCTTTCTTTACAGTCCAACTCTCACATCCGGACATGACTACTGGAAAAACCGTAGCCTTGACTAGATGGACCTTTGTTGGCAAAGTAATGTCTCTGTATTTTTAATATGCTGTTTAGGTTGGTCGTAACTTTCCTTCCAAGGAGTAAGCATCTTTTAATTTCATGGCTGCAGTCACCATCTGCAGTGATTTTGGAGCCACCCAAAATAAAGTCAGCCACTGTTTCCCCATCTATTTGCCATCAAGTGATGGGACCAGATGCCATGATCTTAGTTTTCTGAATGTTGAGCTTTCAGTCAACTTTTTCACTCTCCTCTTTCACTTTCATCAAGAGGCTCTTTAGTTCCTCTTCATGTTCTGCCATAAGAATGGTGTTATCTGCATATCTGAGGTTATTGATATTTCTCCTGGCAGTCTTGATTCCAGCTTGTGCTTCCTCCAGCCCCGCGTTTCTCATGATGTACTCTGAATATAAGTTAAACAAACAGGGTGACAATATACAGCCTTGAGGTACCCCTTTTCCTATTTGGAACCAGTCTGTTGTTCCATGTCCAGTTCTAACTGCTGCTTCCTGACCTGCATACAGGTTTCTTAAGAGGCAGGTCAGGTGGTCTGGTATTCCCATCTCTTTCAGAATTTTCCACAGTTTATTGTGATCCACACAGTCAAGCTTTGGCATAGTCAATAAAGCAGAAATAGATGTTTTTCTGGAACTCTCTTGCTTTTTTGATGATCCAGTGGATGTTGGCAATTTGGTCTCTGTTTCCTCTGCCTTTTCTAAAACCAGCTTGAACATCTGGAAGTTCATGGTTCATATGTTGCTGAAGCCTGGCTTGGAGAATTTTAAGCATTACTTTACTAGCATGTGAGATGAGTGCAATTGTGCAGTAGTTTGAGCATTCTTTGGGATTGCCTTTCTTTGGGAATGAAAACTGACCTTTTCCAGTCCTGTGGCTGAGTTTTCCAAATTTGCTGGCATATTGAGTGCAGCCCTGTGTTCTAAAAAACTTATATAACCCAACTCATTTATTATTTATAGCCTTGGGAGCAATAAGGCTTATTATTATCCATCTTAGAAAGAGGAAGCAGCCCAGAGAGATGGTCTTATTCAAGGTTAGTTATTTGGAAAACGACAGACCAAGATTTGAACCCAAGGATTCTCAGGCCAGTAAGAGTCTAAGTTCACACTTCTAAGTATTATACCGTGCTGCCTCTTAAAGGGAGTAGCATTTAGATAGACTTTGAACAACAGATAAAACTTCTTTAGGAAAAAAAAAAAACTTCTTTAGGGATAGACTAGTGGGAAGGACATTTAGAGTTAAAGCGAATTTTCTTTGGGAAATAAGGAAATAGTTGGATTTGACAGAATTGGTTACTTATGGTGCTTCCCAGATGGTGCTAATGACAAAGAACCCGCCTGCCAATGCAGAAGACATAAGAGGTGTGGGGTTCTACCCCTGGGTTGGGAAGGTCCCCTGGAGAAGGAAATGGCAGCCCACTCCAGTGTTCTTGCCTGGAGAATCCCATGGACAAAGGAGCCTGGCAGGCTACAGTCCATGGGGTCGGACACAACTTAGTACACACGTGCTTTGAACCTACATCTCTGAGAAGGTCTCAAGTGCTCTAAACTGAATTTTTGAAAGATTTTAAAGAAGTGGGATAATAGATGCAATGTTGTAAAATATTTTGCTAAGAGGCTAGTATTCTTATGTTTTAGTTTGGTTTTCTAGTTTAGACTTCTATATCACTGTTAGTTTTATGATTTAAAATGAAAGATTATCTTATAGTATCCAATTAATTATGTACTTGACCACCCCTCTGTGTTAGGCAATATTGCCTGTGAACACTGAATACATATGAAATAATAGGGACAATTTTCAGCTCTCTATTTTAAAATAATTTTTTTGGTGGCTTTTGAATTTGAATTAATTTCAGAACAGGTATCAGTGCACTATTTAATTTATAACACCTCTTTCCTAGGAAATGCCGTATATGTTCATGTGTATACCATTAAAATAGAAGAAATTAAATTGCAGATCCTATTAAATTCACATAAATCCTGTGAAACCTTTAGAATCACATTCTAGTGTGTCTAAAGTACTGAGATTAATGTAATTGTGATAATATCGAATGGTGGTTATTTATATTTCTTTAATTTTTTAAGCTGTGTGGCGTGTGGGGATCTTAGTCCCCCCACCCAGGGATCAAACCCCTGCCCTTGAGGAGAAAGCTCAGTCTTCATTAATCACTGGAATGCCAGGGAAGTCCTGGGCATTTTTTATTAAACACTGAGGTGTAGCTATTAGCATATCTGTGGTTAACATGTAGATTCAGTCTTGTGAAAAGGCCAGCATTACTCAACCATGAGAGATGGTAGCAATGGTAATTTAAGTCCTGAGTTAATTAAGCAGATTTGTATTGTAGAAATATAAAAAGGAGTGTTGTGGTTCAAAAATGGAGAACTGAAGAGTTGATGGTCTGAGAATAAGGAAGGAGACGAATTTGGAGACTGTATTTGGTGTTAGGTTTACATTTCTCTTACCAGTAGATGAGACTGTCTATGGAGAAACAGGCATGTTTATGGAAGACTGGGAAAATTTTTGTGCTTTTGATTTCCTCTTCACAGTTTTGAAGAAGTACATGGAAAATACTCATCAGAAAACAGTGATCTTTGCTCAGGGGAAGAGTCTTCCATGCATTGCACTGCTTCTAACCACGGTGGAAGAGACTCCGCAAGTCATCTCAGCTCGAGTCCAGGGACATCTTCCTGAGTGGCTCAATGGCTATCTACTTCGTACTGGACCTGGGAAATTCGAGTTTGGGAAGGATAAGTAAGCCTTGATTTTGGAGAACAGTTTAATTTTCTTAGCATGGGCTCTTTCTATGTAATGTGCATAATATCTGCTTCCTCTCAGAGGCTAACATTGCTACACAATCCCTTTGATCACAGCTAAGGAAACTATAGCCTACAGGGGAAAAAAAAATGGAGAATTTTAATTCTTTTTAAAAAGTCCTGACTTCTGCTTTGCAGACTATTTTAAATTTTAAGTCATCTGAAAGTTTATGCTAAAAGAGAAGTGTCAGAAACTATGACTACTGAGCTCCATTTCATCACAAGTTCCTGGAGGAAGGGGCAATGTCTTCACTCCATACCACTCTCTTACCCAGTACTCCCCAGACACAGTGGCTCTTTCAGTTCCTCAAACCAGGAATGTTTATTTTTGCTCAGGGCCTTGGCGTTGGCTGGCTCATCTCTCTTCCCAAGTCTGATTCTTGTCATTCAGATATCAGCTCAAATTTCACATCCTTTGAGCTTTCCCTGATCTCCCAATCTAAAGGTGCTGTTTTTTATATTATTTATTTTAATTCCCTGCATTATCAATAGCTAGTATATTTTTGCTTATTTACTTATGTATTAGCTGTTTTTCTCACTATATGGCAGTTTCATAATGGCAGGGACCTTTTCTTGATCAACCTGTATCCCCCGTATCTAGGATAGTACTCTGTAGTTAAATAGCAGCGAATACTTACATGTAAGTAAATGAGAAGCCCAGCAACTCATTGGTGTATCATTTCTCTGTGTGACTACTAGGGACATGAAGTGATGTGCAGAAACCATTGTGGTCAGAAAGAAATCTACTTTGCTTTAAACATTTAAAAATTGTAGAGACTTTTTTTTTATTGTGAAAGTTTTTACCTGTATTAAACTTTTTGAAATATAGAACCAAGTGAGGGAAAAGTGTGTACCACATCCTCCGTTAGCACTTTGACATATTTCCTGCTGATCTTTCTCCCATCTCTATAGATTTGTTTTAAATAATTACAATCACGTGAAAAAAATTTTTAGTGAGGTATAATTGACATATTAGTTTCAGGTGTACAACATAATGATTCAATATTTGTATATATTGTGAAATTATCATCACAAGTCTAGTTAACATTCATAACCATACATGTTAACAAAAATTTGTTTTTCTTATGATGAGAAGTTTTAAGATTTACTGTTGTACATGCTGCATGCTAAGTTGTTTCAATTGTGTCTGACTTTTTGTGACCCCATGGACTGCAGCCTACAAGGCTCCTCTGTCCATGGGATTCTCCGGGCAAGAATACTGGAGTGGGTTGCCATGCCCTCCTCCAGGGGATCTTTCTGACCCAGGGATCGAACCTGCTTCTCTTATGTCTCCTCTATTGGCAGGGAGGTTCTTTACCACTAGAGCCACCTAGGAAACCAAAGTTTTACTGTTAGCAACTTTCAAATATGCAATACAGTTTTATTAACTATATTCTGACTCTGTACTTTACATCCCTCATTTATTTTATAACTGGAAATAAATTTTCATCCCATTTACCTCTTGCAATAACCAATCTCTTGCAACCACCAACTTATTCTCTGTGTCTGTGAGCTTATTTTTCTTTCTTTCTTTTTAATCTTTATGATTTAATCTTTAAGATTCTGAAAGGTTGTTGTTGACCCACGAAAAGACGCTGGGATTCTTGGCCTCCGGAGGAGAAGAATTCAATCTGGGGCCAGAGATGAGGCTTGATCACTCAGAGCTTTTGTGTAATAAAGTTTTATTAAAGTATAAAGGAGATAGAGAAAGCTTCTGACATAGGCATCAGAAGGGGTCAGAAAGAGTACCCCCCTGCTAGTCTTCAGCTGGATGTTATATAGTCACTAGCAGTCTGTTAATGAAAGAAGGGAATGTCTTAAAACTCAGAATGGCACCAGGCCCCTCATCCATAAGATGTGTTTTGGGATAATCTTGGCACCATATGATTCATCCTGGGCCATAAACCAATTGACTTGAATCTTGTAGAAGGGCAGATTACCATACAAATAGTTTCATTTACACAGATTAGGGGAACAATGTCTGAGTATAACATACTGGTTTGTCAAGTAGGTTCTGAGCCATTAGGCTAAAGGACTTGAAGACAGAGTCTGGGGTAAATGCATAGTACATTAACATAGCTTAAGACAAACATTTCCATAAGAAAAATGCATTGATTAACTCAAGGTTTGAGAATAGTTAACTTGAGGTGAAACCAGGTGTCATTATAGCAACACAGTATTTTAAGAGAAACCTCCTTTTAAATTTGTATAGAGAAGGAAAAAGACATCAATAGTTTGTTTCCTCCTGCAGCTTAAGAGAGATAAAAATGTCTGACACTTGCAGCCTATTTCCTCCGTTTGGAGACCCCTGGCCTTCCTGCCTGTTACCGTCTCAATTCTACATATAAGTGAAATCATATGGTATTTGTCTTTCTGACTTATTTCACTTAGGATAATGCCCTCAAACTCTACTCATGTTGCAAATGGCAACATTTCCTTCTTTTTTATAGTTGAGTAGTATTCCATTGTGTGTGTGTGTGTGTGTGTGTGTGTATGTATATGTGTGTGTATATATATATATATATATATATATAATGGCACTTAGGCTGTTTCCATATCTCAGCTATTATAAATAATGCTGCAGTTAACATGAGGGTGCATGCATCTTTTATGAGCTAGTGTTTTTTATTTCTTTGAATTAATATCCAGTGGATCATATGGTAGTTCTATTTTTAATTTTATGAGGATCCTCTATTTTTTGTGGTTTTGGTAGTGCATGTGAGGCTGCCAGGGCTAACACTATGACAGGCGGCCTGGACCTAAGTTTCGGTTTCCCCTGAAATGGTAAGATTCCCTACCCCCATCAGGCCGCCTGGAGCCAGCCAGTCAGCAGGCGCCCAAAAGGGAACAAAGGGAACTTATCAAGGGAAAGCTGAAAAGCCCGCGAACGCCTAAGTTTGAACAAAAGCCTGCGAAAGTTTGGACCAATAAAATTGCTTTGCAAACATGTAACCAATCCGCTTAAGCCAGCTACCAACTGCCTATGTTCACCCTATAAATTGGTGTAACAGCTGGGGCTCGGGGCTCTCTGACCCTGCACCACTGCTTTGGATGCGGCAGGAGCCCTGATTCGAGTCAGTAATAAACTTCCCTTTTTGCGAGTTGCATTGTCTTGGTAGCCTTCTCTCTTCCCGCTCGGGGATTCGGACATCGGGCATAACAGTGTACACTCCGGGAGTTTCTGATGGACAGGGAGGCCTGGCGTGCTGCGATTCATGGGGTCACAAAGAGTCAGACACGACTGAGTGACTGAACTGAACTGATACTAATTTATGTTTTCACCAACAATATGTGAGTGTTCTCTTTTCTCCACATGCTCCCCAACACTTGTTATTTCTTGTCTTTTTGACAATAACCATTCTAATAGGTGTGATGTGGTATGTCACTGTAGTTTTGATTTTCATTTCCCTGATGATTAGTGATGTTGAGCATCTGTTTGTATACCTGTTGACGATCTGTATGTCTTTTTTGTAAAATGTCTATTTAGATCTTTGGCCCACTTTAAAAACAGGTTTATGTGTTTTTTTGCTATTGAGTTGTATAAGTTTTTAAAAAAATATATTTTATATATTAACTGAATTTTTTGTCTTTATTTTAAAAATTTCATACAAAAGTCTTAAGGCTTTTCACCTGTGTTGCTACAAAATCTGAATGATTTACTTTTTTGGTGACTATCTAAATGTAACCTTTATTTTAAAACTTTCTTGTATTTAATTTATTCATGTTTAATTTTTTATTTTTAAAATTATGAGCATATGATAACACATTTATAAGAGACTTGGAAAATACAGAACAAAGTTACATATAGTTCCACTATATATTACAATTATTTTTTTAAATAGATAAATTAAGATTTTTAGTTGGAGTTTCATATCAAGCTCTCAAAAAATTAATAGAATAGACAGAAAAGTGGAAGATATAGTAGACCTGAAAAGCACAATGAATAAGTTCAGCATAATTAAGATTTATACAATTTTCACACAGTAGCAGGATACAAATTCTATTCAAGTTTCCATGGACTATGAACCAGGAGACACTGGAATATATCCAGGGACATAAAACAAGACACAAAAATTTCATGGTCTAAAGGTACTGAAATCATATAGAGTTTGTTCTCTTATCATTGTGGAATTATGTTGGAAATCAATATCAAAAGATATTTGAAAATAACCCACCTATTTTCAAGTGCAATGTGACATTTCATGAATCTTTGACTTAGTCATTGAAAGTCTTAATAAAGCTAAAAGTCTGAAAAATCACAGAGGGTGACTGAAGCAAAGAAAGCATTTAAATGAGAAATTAATATAAATATGAGAAATTGAAATCAAAGACACTTTAAAAATGCTATGTATTTGGAAATTATATGTCCACTTTTAAATGATGGACGTGAATGACTTACTTTTAATGGCTGGATGGTATTCCAGGTAACTTTCTAAAAAAATGTGGTAAAATATACATAACATTTACCATCTAAAATTTGCCAACTATTTTTTGATTGTACAGTTCAGTAGCATTAAGGATATCCACACTGATGTGCCACCATCCATCTACTTTTCATCTTGCAAAACTGAAACCCGTATCCATTAAACAGTAACTCCTCATTCTCCCTTTCCCCAAGCTTGGCAGCTACCTGTTCTACCTTTTATTAGTTATATTCCTATGGGCCTGGTGGGAATCTGGTCATGGCCATACTGTGCTTTTCCACCTGTTGTTAGAAACAAATCAAGAATTAGGGCATGTTTAAGATATATTTCTTAATAACTCAGATACTTTAATTTTCTGAATCTGTTGCATCTTGTTTTCACTGAGTATTAGACTTATAAAATGACAGTGCTAGAAGGAAACAAAATACAATATTCTTCTACCACCCTATCCCTCCCCAATCAGCTGCTGCAAGAAGCCCTTGAGAAATTATTTTAAATACTTAGGGCAATGGTT